CACAAAGGTCATCTGTACTCACTGACTCCCTGTAGTATGTATTAGCATGCTGCTCTGCTAGCCTGACTGCTTTAATTGAAATTAAAAGTTGCTGCCCTGGAGAAGAAAACTCCAGTTTTCTTCTTTATTGCATTTTTCACCCTGCTCCTTTTCTCTAAAATAGCTCCTTTTCTATAGTCTGAAATTGTTATGAAGAGGTATTGCTGACATGTCCTTTGGCCCAAATGAGCAGTGTAATCATTCTCACTTGAAATTATTTCCCGCAACTTCATATCTCAGTATTTATTTCAAAAGTCTGAGAGTTTGATTTCTTCGCACTTCTTACTGTTCTTTTTTCTACACACAGATTTTGTCAAAGTAACATTGTTCAAACACTCGAGACGAATGGCTAGCACAGTTTCATTGTTAAAAGGTCAAACAATGACACTTCAAGGACTTCCAGGCTTACTCAACATGGTAAATATTAAAAAACACAGCTAATGTACACCTTTGATTTCCAGATATTAAGTCTGTAGGATATTTTTATGCATACTGAGTCATTTGGCAACTGCATATTTCAGAAAGCACTAGAGAAAGTGAGTTCATATTTCAAAAATCTGTTTCCTTGACTTTTCTCAAGAAAATTTCTCCATGGTCATTATAGCTCATATCATACTTCACTTCTCAAATAATATATGTAGGATCCATGATTTAATTGCCACAGTAAATAGCATAAATTATATTAGGTGGGTTACAGGATCACGACTGGGATTGCAACATAAAGAATGTGTGGTATTACACGATATGGCAGGCAACTTCATTTGAGCATTTATTCAGACAACGGCGCTTTCCAGAAACTAGTAGGAAAGTGACCATTGCCTACACAAGAGTGAAAAGGCACATTTGCCTGAGCGTACTGAGCAGCTTTGACTATGCCCTGACCATGCTAACCTTCTGATTTTCAAAAAACAAATGTGTGTTAATATATCGTTCACTGTTCAGTAGATGTAAAAAGTAAATACACGTTTATTTGTGCAGTAGCACAAGATTAAGTCTTCCCTTTCTTCATCTTCCGTCCATTTCAATTGTCATGGAAAAGTTGAGGTCAGGAATATTTCCACCCAGGCATTTTTTGAAATCACATGAAGCTGGTTCTGAATGCAACCGTGAATAAAATTTATGGTACTAGAAGAAGATGGCAGAGTTGGAGATGCTTTAACAGGTAGATATTATCATACTTAGCAGCACTTCAAACTCTGCTTGGGATATTAAAGTGGAGTTGGGTTCTTTCCATCATACGCATCAGCAGTAAAAAGGACTCTGCAAGCAAAATTAGATATTTATGAACAATTGCACAGCATCACTGTCCTTTGTGGGTGTGGTGCAGGTGCAACTGATCAGGACTTTTGGCTCATAATGTACATAAAGGAATATAATCTTGTTTGTCAATTTAGCTCTACTGGTTTCTGGAGGTGAGGAGAGATGAAAGACTAAAATCTGGGGTTTTAATCATTCAGAGAAAAGATATGACACCAAAACACATTAGGATCAAATCTATTCACATCATTAAAAACCTACATTTAACGTAATTTTGCAGATTGCATTACCATTAAAAATTCAGTGGAAGTCAAATCTGCATTTATCATAATGTGATGCAGGAAACAAATGTCTTCACTTAGAAGTAGGCTAGATCTGTTATAGGAAACCACTGCACTCACCCAGACTAATGGGCTGCATCTCTTAAGAAGTGTTGCCTTGGAGCTTCTGATTTTGTGGGCCAATTTTGAAAACAAAGATGAAAATCAGAGAAACAGAGGCATCACTGAAGACCAGAAGAATAAGTAAGGCATCTACTTAACTGAGACACCCAAGTTCCAACTGTAGCTATTTTAGTAATAATTTTAGATCCCCAGTTTGACTTTCGTAATTTACTTAGGAGAATAATAATATTTATCCACCTAACACCTAGCAGTGCTGCAGAGATAAGGCAATGCTTGCATGTACTTGAGTGCTAGGCATTGTAAGATTTATCAAATTAACATCCCTAAAAGCATAAGACAGTGACAATATGATTAAAAATTTTAAAAATTATTTAAATGAAAATGGTAAGAAAAAATATGCCCTACATGTAAAAAAAAAAAGAAAATAATTGTTGCTTTCACTAACAAAAGCGATCTTCATTCACACTCTGTCATCCAGGCCAATTTAAAAGCTACATATTTACGCAGTGAGTTTAGTTCAGATACATTGCCTAGTTTCCAATGCCTATGTACTTCACAGAGCTGCAGAGGGGTCAAGTGATTTGCACGAAGGTACACAAAATGTTAGCTGTTCAGCCAAGAGTTAGGATCAATACCTTGACCCCCCAACCCCACCCCATTCCTGACCTCCCCACTCAGCACAATGCTGTAATATGCAGAAACAGGGAGCAGAAGAAACACGCTGTGTAGAGAGGCAATCTGCTTTTTTCCTTTCTTCTGGCATGGGCAAATCACGTCCAGCTTCAGTTCGTACCACTGTTCTCCTACATGGATCTTCTTCAGCACCTGAAGAAGCTAACTTAGAAAAGCATGGTTTTTCACGCCACTGAGTCCTTCAGATCTAGGCCCTCATAAAAAGGGCCCAAACCCACCACCTTCTGTGAAACCAGTGCTATATCATGTTGCTCACTATATCCTTGAAGATGATCTAGATTTTTATGAAATAAAATTTAATTTCATAGGTTTCCACAATTACAGGATTAGAAACTCAGTCTACTGAATTGGAGAGAATTTCAATGCTGTGGAAAAGCTCAGCTGATGCTAAAGATCTCTAGGTTGGCCAAGGTACAAAAAAATGCTGTGTAGCTCCTAATGGTATTTCAAAAGCCTGTTTCCCAACAGGTGTCAAATCAAGACTCCTTCATGTTAACGTGCTAACAAAATGACACTTCTTTTGTTCAAACTGTAAATTGTACTGAAATGAATGGTCCAGCTTGCTTCATCTAAATGTCTACAAATCAATTTGTTAATATTTTTTTTTTAAATCGAGCCTTTTAGTACCAATGGCGATGGTATTTCCGTGCTCCAGAACACTTGCAAGTATTCTTCATCCCACTCACTTGAAAACACAAAGCAACCAAAAGCAAGCTCCAAGCACCTGAAACTCATATATCAAGAAGTAAACTGATCTTTGGCAGGTTATCATCAGAAGAAGTTTAACTTGACCTCAACAAGACAATCCCACTGAACCTTAGCAATGAACAATGAATGCAGGGACTCAAACATAACTAACAATGCATTTATGGCAAGAACAAGTCATGCTTTACTAAAATGGCTTGTCCAGCCTCCAAAGTACATAGCATTTATTATTTTGTTTATGGTTTATTACTATTTTCAGCCAAGTTTATCAAATGAAAAGTCACTAAAACTGAATTAACAGAGTAAGTGAATAATAAAAATAATTAGGAGCAAAGATAGATAAAAAAGAAAGAAATTTAATGTTATCACGAGTAACTAGTATAAAATTTATAAATTGCTCTGATGTAAAATTTGGGGAATATTTCAAACCACTACATTATTGTGAAATGTAAAGTTCCGATTCCTCTACAGTAGTACATGCAAAGAAGCTGCTTTTCTCTGACTTCCTTGGCTTTTGCACAGTTAATCTCAGTCAAACAATGCAAGAACCTGATTTGTCTTCAACACATTATGCTGATGCAATATCATGTGTTGTCTTGACTGTCATATTCACTTGGATTTAACCTAATTATTAAGTTTTTATATAGATGTCAGTCTTATTGCTGCTTGCTTTAATTCAACTATTTTTATCTAGTGAATGCTCTTCAAAGACTTAAAGTCTAAGAACCTTGTAAACACTTGTGTAATTTGTACCCTGCTGGGGCTGGCAGTAGTAATTTGTCAGTTTTATTTGCAGCAGGCTGTAACTAAACCTTGCCAGATGTAAATCATCTTTTGGTACTACTGTTTGCTGCTTCAGTTGGAAATGAAGCTCATTTCTTCGCTTAACACTCGCATCAAGAAAGCTAGAAGGTTCCAGGAAAATTTAGAAAACCCTTGAGTCACTTACTGCAAGGCTTATTATGTTGTTTAGCAACTGTTTCAGCTAATACTGAGCAAACAGAGTGAATGGTCTCTGTCGGCAAGTTTGGAGGGTAATTAGAATGTGTGATTGCAACAGAAAAGCATATTGAAGCCTCAGTCTTGTCAACTTAAGCACCACCTGCAGTGACAATGGTGAAACACGGGTGACAACACAGCCTAAGTACATTTAAGAGTATGAGTACCTTAAATGGGAGAGTACTCTTTGCTAAAGCCTATTCCCAATAGGCCTCCCTTGTTTTGTTTTTTTAATGAGACCATAAGAAATGCCCTGCTGAGACACAAGTTTATTGTGTCTAGTGTCAATAGGAGATATTTTCTAAGAAAAGCATACACACCCAGCATGTGGTCAGTCCCATAAGATAATGCTTGCTGTTCAAACGCGGCTGGCTAAAAGGTATACAGGATCGCAAATCCATGTACTGTAGCAACAGCTCACTGCCCATCCGATAAGGAGCACAACAATCGATTCCTTCCGTGTCAATATCTTCCTGAGACTCAAGTGGGTCTATTCCAAATGAGTCCATGCAGGTATTTCTATCACAGTGATAGATATTTTCATTATGATTTTCCATCACATAGTGGACATTATTCATCCTAACATTACTCATTTTTACTACTTTATTACCAAATCTTGGCACACTATGTCCTGCAAAAACTGCAAAGAAGTAACAAGCACCTTTATCAAGAACACTAAAACAAAATAGTATTGATATAGACCAAGCCATCAAAAAATCATTCCTCCTACAGCATTAACAACATTTTGACTATACATAAAGCCTACAAAGGAAGAATTGGAAACCATCTTTTCTAAGCTGTAGTACAGTTGATTATTTCACCTATAATCCAACGGTTGCCACTGCAGAACCAGATTCCCTTCACCGTGACTGGCCCATTTCTGTGTGCTCTGGATTCCCTTACCTTGAGTGAGACAGAGCTTTAGTAAGAGTCCTCAGCTTCTTTCCTGTTTCTCGAAACGGGGAGAGCCTTTTCACTGGTTCTGGTGGATCACACTGAAAGTGATGAAATTGAAAATAAGTATTATGGCATTAATTAAGAAGAGCTTAGCATAGAGAAGGTATGTGCAGTCTCCGGGTTCAGTTTTAATCATCAACTATTTTCTGAGATGGTCATCATCTGGGACAGCATTGTGTCATTTCACATGCATGTAAACAACCCTTATATGATACCGCTGTGCATGCCCATGTGTACATGTGTTCCAACAGCTTTTAACTCATGGGCTGACCTCCAGTTTGACAGAGATCTTACAGGCACTTACGCACACCTGAGCTTCGTTAAACTACTAGACAGGAAGAAGAGATTGTTCAATGGCCTAGGCTTAAGAACAGCTGCTGTGAGTGCTTAGGCATTAACAAACTACAAAATAGATGCATGGGAGTCCAGAAAAATTTTCAATCAGACTCAAAACAAGGAGGCTGACATTTGTAAAAACAAAACAGCACGAAAAGCTCCACAGACATTGCTGGTTTTGGAGCAAGGAACTTGATGGTTTTCTTATTTTCTTTCTCTCTCATTATTTTTTTTTTTTTTTTACAGTGTACAAACCAGGTCAGCAATTTTATGTAAGGGAATTAAAATCACCTGCTAGGTACCTTGTTCAAAATGCCTGCACCATTTTTTCTTCTAAGCAGCTACAGAACTGAAATACATAGGAGATGAAAGCTTGTATTTGTTGTTGAACTAGCCCTAGTTTAGAAGTACCCTTGGGGTTTCAAGAGAACAGCTGCATCAATTTTGTAGAATTATGATTGCATGCTGTGCATATGTAGTGTTTTTGCATGTGTTAGGTAATAAAATATGCAGCTGAGGCAGTGCTCAGTGTGCAAAAAGTGCATCGCTAGATTGCCATCCATCGGGAGGCATAATGCTGGTACACAGAGACCAAGGTGTAGCCTAAAGTATTCCTTGAGGCAGTTCTGTGCATTTCATAAGTGCCTAAGATGTTCAGAAAAATAAATTCCTGGTAAAGGAAATAAAGAAGATCCTTTATTATGCACCTGGGAAAGCAGGCAGTAGGATATTGCAGATCTCAGTTGGATCTGTAGAGAAAACTCCAGGGAGGCTGCGACTCTTATTTGAAATCTTTATCATCACCTGCGTGTACCATTTTTGATTGCTGGAACAATTGGTGCTCTGTGTGGAAAACAGCTTCTATGATAAGATTGAGCTGCATACTTCACCCTTTCTTAGTATGTTTTCAATTTTAAGAGAACATTCTGGAAAGTACAGACAAAAGAAAAGACTTCTTTTTAATGAGATGTATAGATAAAATTCATAATTGTGAGAACTGAAAAGAGAAAAATGATAAATAAATGTGTTGGTGGAACGTTTCTGGTGTTCAAACCAGAGTACTTCTGTCAGTAGGACAGCTGCACCTTTTAGCAGGACTTCCACAGCACATCTTACTTTTCAACTTTGTTAGCTTCCAACAAATCTGACTGATTTGAGTTAGATAAAAAAGCAAATTAAATATTGTGTTGTGATAGGTGAGATATTACTGGATGCTGAAGTCAGGCTAACACTTTCACTTTCTTTCTTACAGAAAAAAAAAAATCATTAGCGGTAGTTGCCAGTTTTCATATAATTGCAAATGTGGTATCCTTTCTCTTTTGTTTACATTTTTTCTTCTCTTTTATAAAAACATCGTGGTCAAGTCAGCTGCCCGGCTTTCAGTTTTGTTCTAAAGAGGAAGGTGATGGAACAGATTTCAAACAAGCTAACAAAGACAACATATGACAAAAAATTTAAAACTTTTTACAGGATTGTCAAATAAAATTCAAGTAAATTGTTAAATGTATACATAGAAATAAAAAATGTGGGTTATTTCCAACATTTTCTTAATATTTACAAGGCCTGAATTGCTCTGGGATAGACAGCCACAGATCACATTGTAACTCTGCATTGTCATATGACAGACCTATCAAATAGAACATACACTTCGGGGGTCTTGGCTGAATTGGAACAGACTCAGCACAGTAACTGTTCTGTGCAGACCAAAAAGTGACATTTAAGTAAAATTATCTCCAGGCCTTTCAATATGTAAAGTTGTAGGCTAAGGTCACACCAGGCAAAGGCTGAAAAAAGGGGTATAGGCTAATCTTCAACAACTCTTCATCTGTGCAGCTCTACATAACACCCAAAGGAATAGCCCTTCCAGCTTCAGGTTTCTGAGATCTAAGGATGTGCTTTTATAAAAATATGAATTTTTGAAGTAAAAAGCAATTTTGAATGTACTGTCCATTACTGTGCTAAACTGTAATACAGTTTAAAGGTCAGTCTTCTAGAACAGATGCATGGAATAACTAATACAGCTAAACTGAATTTTCAGAACACTATTTTTGCCAAATTACAATTACATCTCATCAGTGATTTTTTTCTGATACCTTCAGAAGTTTTACTATGTAAAACCTAAGAAATGTTCATCAGTCAGCAAAAGGCTGGTTCCCTATGCACAGTAAGGCTTTAAACCTTGAATTCAGCAGATATATATCTGAAGAATTCAAACATGGTGTTTGTCTGTTGCCTTCTTTAACTCGATCTTGAATCACAGCTTCACCAGTAGTCTCACCTCTGGATTGAAAGAGTACTTCTTAGTTCAATATATTTATCAATGACATGGACAGCGACATCGAGTGTACCCTCAGCAAGTTTGCAGAGGACACCAAGCTGAGTGGTGCGGTTGAGACACCAGAAGGACGGGATGCCATCCAGAGGGACCTGGACAAGCTGGAGAGGTGGGCCTGTGTGAACCTCAGGAGATTCAACAAGGCCAAGGGCAAGGTCCTACACCTGGGTCGGGGTAATCCCCGGTATCAATACAGGCTGGGGGATGAAAGGATCGAGAGCAGCCCTGCTGACAGGGACTTGGGGGTACTGATAGACGAAAGGCTGGACATGAGCCGGCAATGTGGGCTGGCAGCCCAGAGGGCCAACCATGTCCTGGGCTGCATCAAGAGAAGGGTGGCCAGCAGGTCGAGAGAGGTGATTCTGCCCCTCTACTCTGCTCTGGTGAGACCTCACCTGGAGTTCTGCGTTCAGCTCTGGAGCCCTCAGCACAAGGACATGGAACTGTTGGAGCGGGTCCAAAGGAG